AGCTGGACACTGGACACGACTTGACGAGAGATCTTGATGGCAACAAATCCTAAGCCCTATAAATCGCCCAAACACACACATGCACACACACACACAAACACATACACACATACCCACACATAGATACAGTACACGCATACAGGAGTCGTTGGAGGCGACGTGCCAGATAAAACTCTTGTCAGAATGTATTTTATGGGTGGGTGAAACCCTGCGGCTGTGACGTGGCCACGTTCCCACGATATTACACGTGGTATGGCGCTCTTAATAAAATTGATGATGCGTCCATTTCTTAACTTGGCTAAGGGCAAATAATGTTGTTAACTCATTTTTCCTTCACTACTCCTTTCCCACGGGCCCCATTCTCATCTGTTCTTAAACCTGGGCCACTCAAGTGCTCCTTGTCCTTGTGGCAAATTTATTTTGTCAACAACGGCGCCGGTCAAATGCAATTAAAGCCCAACTATGCACGTCTGCAGCTGGCAACTCGAAATATGCTTAATTTGCGTTAAAGCACTGCAAGTGTAATTAATGCCACGCCCTCAAGACCACCTCTCTTTTATATGTTTACTTACAGTTCCAAGTGCTGGGCAAATACCTCAAGCTCTGCACAATAAACAAACTGGCTGCCAACTCCTCGTCTCTGTCTAAGGACTGCGTGTCTGTTGTCCTTGAGCAAAATATATGCTTGCAAGCCGCTTAGAGCAGTACTCGTAATTTCTGCTGCCCACCATTGCCACCGCATTGCCAACATGTGGCAAATTAAATTGTTAAAAGAGGAGAGCCAACATGCTCTCGGTGGGCTTGCCACAACTCTCAGCCTTCAGTTAATGATGACGCTTTGTGACCGCTAAGCGTTTAACCTTCAGACGCTGCGTCGTCGCCGTCGAGACATGTGATAAATATTCTACGTGCATACATATTTATATATATATATATATATGTATATATATATATATATATATATATATATATATTTTTTTTTACATTTCGCCTTTGCTCTTCTGCCTTTTACACAGGCTTAATTTTGTTTGGCAAATAAACTTAAGACGTATTTTGATGCCAGATTAATGAGTTCTAATTAAATTTGCTCGTAAGCAGAATGCAAACAATGTAATTATTAAATTAATAACAAATTTTTTTTAGTAGAATGAAATAATATTAAGAGTTATAAGTGGGCACGAGGATTAAGTGGAGCTTATACAGAATCAGGTGGAATAATTACACACACTTAAAGGAAATTTTCACGTAAAATCTATCACTATGACAACCCATTAGCATTATATGATATTCTGCATGATAAATCTGTTTATATATATGGAGGCTTAGCAATGTTTTACACTTACTTTTTTTTTATAAATAGCTGAACGCGAAGCCCAACAGAAGCATAATAAGACGATGGTATTGGATGCCATTGAAGTAAAAGCAGGTAAACATATTTCAGATCCCAAATACTTGTTTATGATGATGCTCGATGCCCGACAAAGGTTCAATTATTATTGGCTTTTCATGGTCACATTATCCAGAGACCGAGAACTGTACTGAGTAGCTATTACGTGCTTATACATATATAATAAATACATACAGCTCAGCAAGATATCGTACATGGTCAGGCTAAAAATATATGTGAAATATAAAAAAAAAAACCAAGTACTTAAGGTCCTTGAGACGCCAGGCGCCGCAGACGGCTCAGTAGACCCAATAAACACGGAGTTGCGACTAGCAGGGTTATTAGTACCACACACACAGCAACACACGCAGAAGTGATTATCCAGCCAGCGGTCGTTTTTATCTGCTGATTTTACTGATAGTACATGAAACCTCGAAATAAAGGGTCGCTGGTCAAATTAAATTTTAAAGAAAAAAAGAAGAAGAAAAAGCTCACATTCAGTGTGTAAACAGTGTTCGCCCACATGGCAAGCAAATAGCCGGGACGGTCTTTGGCCAAGTTCTCAAATGCTCACAATCAATACGAGTTGCTGGCTGCGTGTGCGTCTGCATAATATGCTTTGATTTTGCCAGCAAACAAACATAAAATTGCGCAATGCTTTTGTTTCTAGCTGCTGGCTAATCGTGGGCATGTGTGTGTTGTCTGCTTAGTGGTGTGAGCCCAACTAGAGTAAAGAGTGGCAACAACCATCAGCTTGCAAGGGAGAGCTTCATGCACATAAAATGAAATTTTTGCTTTTACCCAGCAACCAAACTAATAGCCAAGTTTGGTTACATGTAGCCATGGGTTTGCAAACAGATCGGAATGGGATTTAAGTAGTGGAATATTCTCATATTGACAGCAATGCGGTGCGTGTGTGCTGGCCCTTGGTCAGAAGTTCCTCGCTGTGTTGGCGTGAGCTGCTGCCATATTTGACTTTGTCTAACCTTTTGGGCGCCTCTTGATGAGAGTGTGTTGCAGTTGGCATATCTGTGTCAGACCCATCAACAGCTCAATGTGCCAATATTATACCCCAGGGTGTGTGGCCTTGCCCATTTGTGCTTTTACGTATGTGAAAATGAACTTGTTGACGACCTATAATGTAAGTCATACTCTATGGCTCCATACAGGTTATTGAGCCGATTTAATCAACATTTGATTTACTTTTTGTACACAGTAAATCTTGTATCTGACTACTGTATTTGACCACGCAACCTAATCTATTTATATTTATTCGACTTATTATTGAATGCTTCTAATTGTTTTTATTATATCATCAATCGCTATTTCTTCTGTTATGTGTCATGTGAATTTGTTTAACTCACATGGCGATTGCCTAATTTAAAATTTGCTTGAGCATCTTTATTTTATATAGTTATATCTCCTATTGTATATATTTCATTATTGTAAATGTGTAAGTAGTCAGTGCAAATATATCCTCTTCAACTAAGGTATTGTAATTTCAAACTTGTCTATAAACTTAACTGAGACGGGCCAACACATGAAAGGCATCAAGTAAATAACACCAGTTCACTAACCCCTAAGCTATCATTTTTTATCCTGTCAACAGCAGTTAAGAACTGTGGTGTTATATTCTCATGAGGCTGAAAACAGCTCAATTTCCAATAGAAGTGATATCTTTGTGTATAGTACATATTCATTTAATTTCATTTATTTACAATTGATTATCTAGCACTAACTAACTAAACAATTAAAGTTTAGCTTAGGCCTATGATAGAAGTTTGTTTATTTTCATACTGTTAATTTATTTTCTACTCTACTCTAAAATAACTCAACTAAGCTTTTCTGAGACAATTCAATCAAAGAAAATGTTCTTTAAATTTAAATAAACAGATAGTATCATATATTACCAACTGAGACTACATTTGTTTGTTTTACCTAAGCGAGACCAATGACTAGAAATGATGATCATATTGTTTTTTGTTTAGTAATAAGCCCAACAATCAGTTTGAGTGCCAGCTGCGTGCAATATTTCACAAATAACCATGCCGAAAATAAACTTGAAATCACGTCTGATGCGCGATAAATTTAAATGAAGATGAATTATATGCTTACCCTTGTGGTCCTTTCTGAGGACATTCGCATAGGGGGCACATAAAAACTATCACTCAAATCAATAAGCAGTTGGCATTTGCATCTTATGCCTTCTTTGATTTTTTCATAACATTGTTATTGCTTGCAAAATCGGCGGGGGCAAATGGCTTATGGGCTTATCTTTACTTTTTGTTAGCCATATGTTGTCCGCGGGTCTATTTATATTTATGTCTGTGTGTGTGTGGGAAAGAGAGAATTTGTCAGCTTTCATTTTGCGGTCCTCATTTAAATAAACCCAAATTTATGGCGTGCACACAAACACACGCACACTCCTTGAGCGATTGACGCGCCTTAAGTTATCTAACGCTGCATGCTCGAAGTGGGGATATGGGGGGGATTGAGGGAAAGTCTTCGGCTTGAGGCTATTTCCGTTTTAACAATGGCTGCTCGTTGGCGTGATTTATACGACGGAGCGTTCATTTCATTACATTTTCGATGCGTGCCACACTTGCGAGAAGTTTCCCCATTTTTATGACCGCCTCGTCGCAAAAAACGGAAGTTTAGTTTAATCGAAGTTGTTGTCACGAATTGCGACCGCTGATTGATTACCCAATTGATAAGCCAGGCGTCTGGCATGTAAATTAACTCAAAGTGCGCAGCAGAACTTTGTTCGTTTCATTCAATCCTAATTTGCAGTGGCGAAACAAATGACATTTTGTCAACATTTGCTTTAATATTGTTGGCAATCATTTGGCCCAAACCAGAGTTCAAGGCGCTCACTTTCAACTCGCACAAAATTCAAATTTGTTCCAAAAACATGGCAGCAGCTGCCAGCTGACTGCAACTTCAGCACCCAGGAATGTTGTCTGCCATCGTCGGCTTCTGTTTGATTTTGCGGCGAACGAATAAAAAATAAACTTTCCAGCTTGTAACATCAGCATGTAAAGTCATTCACATGCATAAAGTATGCGTGGGTGGTATGGCAAGTTACCATTCAAGCTGTACTATTATATCTTTCTAACTGTGTCATCGACTATTTCAATCCAATCGTTATTCAAAAATGTTACTTTGTTTTCCTTTATAGATTTTTCTTCCTTTACCATTACCCTCCTATACGGACATGTCTCCAACCAAACACCATTATGTATATATATTTATTATTACCAGCATTAACCGATTTGATATAAATATTTAAATGTCAACAGCTTATTTCAAGTCTACAAGGGTATGTAATATTTTGCGTAGCTATGATAATCATTCTTATTTTACTATAACCTACATAAATATTCTCTCTGAACCTCTTAAAGATTTTCTTATTCACATTTTGATGCTGCGCAACGAAATGAAACATTTCAAAATCAATTTAATTTAAACAAATTGATGCAAAATGCATTTGAGCAGTTGCATTTCAAGTTGAAATCATGATTTTCAATGCATAAATTAGGTTGAGTGCGCTCACTGCACAGCTGAGCTTTCTCAGAAGACAATATGACAATGTGATTTTTTTCTAGTTACCAACCTCATAAAAGTAGAATGAATTCAGGTTGTCCAATTCACCCGCATATGGCGACGATGAGTTGTCGCCCGCTGCCGCCTGGAAGTCGCTGCCCGGCGGTGTTATGGTTGTTGTTGCTGTTATTGTTGTTGTTGTTGCTGCTGCTGCTGCCATTGTCGCCGCTGTCGTCTGGGCTCCGCTGGCAGTCGTTGGCGTTGGCGCCAGCATCATGTGTGAGATCGCAGGTGTGAAATATGTCATATTTGCTGCAGCCTCCATTGGCTCTGGAGTTGCTGTAGCAGTCAACGTCAGCTGACTGCCATTGGACGCCTGAGGGGGTGGCAGCATGCCCGATGACATGGAAGCCAGAGTGTAATAGAGCGAGCTATCGAATTGCCGTAGATGCAACATGCCGGCTATATTCTGTCTTAGCTTAGGTATTTCTATTTGCCATATCCAACAGTTTGAAGCTGCAATTGAAATCAATTTAAAATATGTTTTCATAAGTGCTTTGTATTGCGAATAAATAAAATAAAAGCTAAACGTTAAGTGCAATAAACATTGCCATGATAATAATACCTGTTAAGCTCTGGTATTTAATTCTCACTCATAAATCCACAGCTGCATAATAAACGCCCTGAGCACTTGCTGGCATAATGTCAAACACTTGCCCCGCGGCTGACATGGCTCATGTCTGGGGACTAGGATTGGATTTGGCGCGGTGCCAGTCATATGTGGGTGTGTGTATAAATTTGTATATTTGGCTGTTTAGCTGGATTAATTTCGGCTCAGGTCGTGTACTGAACCTTGTTATAAAAGTGGCGCCGCATGCGACATTTGTAGGTGCTAAACTTTAAAACTGGGGGTTGGTAAAAAAAAGCCTGTGCCTCATTGTATGTTTAACTTTCAAAGTCGAGCAAGAGAATCAAAATTAAGGGCAAACTTTATTAATTATTAAATACGAGGGCTCGAATTGTTTTGATATATAAAATGTGATTTCTGACATTTAATTTTGAATTACAAATAGATGTGGAAAAATGCAAGTGCAAATACTTTTGCTATAAAGTAAAAGGTTTATTATTCTGTACTTTATCTAATGGAGATTTGATCAGGGTATGAGGATATATAAAACTGGCGCTAAACTTTTGGATATACAAATTCCCTTCTTTAGGTATTAATGATTATAAATGAGAAATCACTCTAAATACCCATTTTTAATTTTAATACTTACATCATTTTAATATTTATTTATATTTGTCTCGATTTATACTCGCTATACGAATATCTCTTACTTAAACCAATTAACAACTAATTAAAACTCAAATTTAAAAATTCGTATTATATAATTTAATTATTGTACAAATATTTACAAACTAGTTGAAACTAAAAATGACAACCATTTAAAGCCAATTATCATTTTTCTCACGTATATGCAGAAAATCGTCTGCCTATTCAGTTGGTGAAGCACGTATCAAGTGAGATTATGAGCATGTCACTAATTGAATTAAACATATGCAAGACTTGATCCCAGCGGACATGCAACTGATTGTTGGATTATTCATTTGCTGATAACAATAACTTAAACAATTAGCTTGTTGCCAACAATAGTGGCAATGTCCTGGCGACACGCACGTCTGTGCATGCAACAAAAGGTCCTCTGAACTTTTTGTGTGGTCTCAAAACCCATACTTAGGCATGTGTAGTGTGACCTTTGACAGCGACTTAAAATTAAAACCACTAGAGGATGTCAACTTATTAGATACAAAACGACTGTGACAGCCGCAAAACGTGCATGAAGTCGCAAAATAAATTTTATTTAAAAAGCTAACAACATTTTTTTTGCCCAGATACTTGGTCTACTAATGTGAGCACGCAACTATTTTGGCAATGATTTATTATCACACGTACACCTCAAGTGTGTGTGTGTGTGTGTGGGGGGGTGTCTGCATTGCCTCCTTTCATTTTGACACATTCAATTTAGTTGAGCGGCTGCTAGCGTTTTTAAGGCGTTTTTGGGCGTGGCCACATGTCGCCACTTTCGATGCCTTTAAGTTTATCACTTTTGATTGCATTTTACACGCACATAGTTTCATTTGGCACATAGCCAACAAATATGTTTCAGCGTCTGTTTTATGTCAACCAAGTTGTTAGCCATCTGCGCCTATCCCTCCTATCCACTCCGGCGCTGAGACCATTCGTCTGGCGGGTAGTGCGTTGATTAAAATAATTACTGCAAATGTGCTTCTAAAGTGTCATTAAAGTGCCAACGCTTTGAAGTGCGACACTTTATATAATTTACAATTTGATATATAGCGGATGTGCAACGTTGCAACATTCACACATGGCGAATACTTAAAAAATTCTATACGATTGGTTGCTGCAGTTTTAACCTTATGCATTCATATTTAAGCGGCTTTATGGTCCAAAGCTTTATTTTCATTGCAATTTTCGAGAACAGTTTGTGGAATTCATAGCTGCATCGTTTCGTGTACAGTCTGTATTTATATCAGTGAAACAAATTTAGTTACATATTGATTATTATATGCTAACTATAATAAATTTTATAAATAATATGAGATTGGAAAAGTTTTAAAATAAAACACAAGAAACCTGACTCTAATATCTTATTCCCAGCTTCTTAAGCCAGGTTTTAAATACATATATTTTTTTCTTTTTCTTTGACATTGCTAATGCAAGTCTGGCATATATATTTCATTATGACTACTTGCTGTATGCATATGTAAATTGGCAAAATCCCTTCAAATAAATAATCGTCTCAGCCCATTTGGACTTTGCATAATAAGTTTGGCATTTAAGTTTTAGCCTACTGCTGCTGCTACTGACTGATGCTTGTGCTAATGCGCATTTAATTTGCATGTGAAATATCCAAAGTATCAGTCAAAGCTTCTTTTCATGACCTAGACGTAAGTTGATGCCAAAGCGGCGGGTAGGCGTGGAGTATTTTATTTTATTTGTTTTGCTATGCGTTTTGGTTCAATTTCATTGACATAATTTGACTAAGCTGTCAGCCAAAATGCAGACAGCTTCAGACAATAAGAAGCCAAATTCGACTTTTGCTTGCGACACTTTATACATGGTTTTTATTTTTGGCTGCCGTTGGCATTTTTTTCGTGTTGTTGCCACCAGTAGTGCAGTGTCAAGTAGCTTTAAGTTTGATTTGATAAATCAGTGCAAAAACCGCTCAACTGAAAAGGTGTTGCCTTAAAGATTCCCAGTTCCTTTTTCAAAGAGAAAGAAAGGCAAACGGAGGAAAATGTCAGACACTTGAGTGTGTAATCAATGCAGTCGCTTGCTAAACATACAAATCCAACAATTTGACAATCTGACAATCTGAGAGCTTTATGGCAGCCCCTATCGCCTTTTGTTTCTGGTAACAACTTTAGATGTAACATTGTGCAACGTTGCGTATGCTTCATAAAACCCCAATGAAGTAGCAGCTGCTGCAGTCGCTTGACTTTACTGCCACTTGCTGCATATTTATGTTTGGTTTTTGTTTCTCCTTTTGATTGTGACTGCCATTAAATAAGCCATTACGTTGTCTGCAGTTTCGCTTGGCTGTAATGCGCCCAGTGACAATTGTCAGCATACAGGATACGGCTGGGAGTCACCATGCTGCCACAAATTAAAAATTGATTTAACTGCAAAAATGAGAGCATACCCCAAAGAGTGGCCAGCAGTTTACAGCACGTAGTATCTCACTGTTATGTTTATCTTTTTTTTTATATTTCTATTTGGTATTTGGCTTATGCTTTGCTTTGTGCAGATTGCGTTATGCGTTTGGCTGGGACCATTGCAACAATTGCAGTTCATGGCAATCAGCACAAGAACGACGCAAGTTTACTATATCATTTAAATTTTATGGAGCGTGACGTGTGCTTGTCGCATAAAGGATAATTGGCAGTCGAGTATGCCATGGAGACTTGTGAGTACTTTTACAAAAAAGAACATATTAGCTAAAACGTTCTTTTGTTTTGTTTGCCCTTGAGCACTACCAGCTAAGACTTAAACAAAAAAGAATACCATTTATGGTTGCCTAGCTTTGTCTTTTTTAACATTCTTGCAGGGGTCATTAAAACTTTGTATGAGTGTAAAATGTTGTGGTTACAAAATATGAGTCAACTTTTAGTTACAATATGCTTTGAATTTTTTAAAATTCTTATATTTAGAGTCGGTCTTTTGTATCTGTTTAATATTTTGTGCATTTTTCGTTTATCAATAATGGAACGCCAAATTATATATTGCAGACGCAATCATGGATGGATCATGGATGGATAATAAAATAATCTTCAATAAAAAATTATAGTCACTTCAAATCCCAACAAGTAAAAGCGGTAAATTATTTGCTCATTAGTTATAGCTCGGTTTTCCTTTGGGGATTACTTTATATCTTATCTTATAATACCAGACAGCTTTATAGAACAATCCACGCAAAATTTGTCTGGCTTACAGCCTGTTAATGCGACTGTCGCGCATCTTAAGTAGCCACTAATTTTAAATCCAAATGATAAACAAAAATAGTCGCACCTAACGGCGCACAAAAGCCTTATGAATATTTTTGAATGCCTTTCGTCATAGCCAAGGGCGGCTCATTTTGCTGTCTCGATGGTTAAAGCAAATGAAATGTGTTTATACGCTGTGAGCCAAGAACAAAAGGTTATATTAAAAGCGAGCAGTAAATGAATGAATTTTGTATTGCATACTTATATAGGGATTTTGTATTTTGTATATTGTTCACCTACTTCAGGTCTTCCCTAGCTCCAGTAACCAGGCCTTTAACATTTTCTCATTTAAAAGTATTTTCAGTTGCTTAAATGGCAAGGAATCGAAATTGGAAAGAACTAGCTGTTCCATGAAAATTCTCCGTCGCCCTTATCGGTGCTGCGTCCATTTTGGTGTCCCCAGTGACTAAAACACCGACGCGTCTTTCTGTATGCGCCATTGAATGGCATTTTATTTTATTATTACACACAGGTGCCTGTGCATTTATATTCAAATTTGTAGCACCTGTAAAATAGGTGAGAAACAATGAAGCCACACAGCAGACGTCGGCGCCCTTGTCTGGCATTTTGGCTGTCACTTACACACACACACACACACACACAGAATGAACACACTTTGTATGCATGTGCGTAGCTACATCTGCGGCTATTTGCAGAAGTTAGACAAATATATATAAACGTGTTTGGCAAATCGTATCGAAATATTTGCCACTTGAGATTAGGTTCAAGCCGCTGTAAGCGGTTTATTTAAAGTTTTCACTCATATCAATGGGGCAGACATTATGATTATGAATTGGTCGAAAAAGTTTGGCTTACACGTCCCGTACCTGACTGCCATTTGTTTGCGGGTAAATTAATCTGGAATACACCAAAAAGAAAGAGCAAAAGTAAAGCAAAAAGAAAAGTGAAAACGCT